TGAATACTATTGTGAAGATGAGAATATCAGAATGCTTAATTGTACTCATGCTGAACTTGTACATAGACCAAGAGGCAGTTGTTCAAAATTAGCAAAGGGATACCTCATGATTTAAAATTGGGAAAGGTGTGCATCAGGGTTCTTATTCAATCTGTACACTGAGCAAGTAATCTGAGAAGCTGGTCTATATGAATAAGAAGTGACAATAACACTGTGTAATATGCTGGTGGCAGAGCCATACTTGCTGAAGATGAAGAAACTATTATTTTCTTGCACATACTAATGAAGATCAGACTACAGCCTTTATTATGAATTACATCTTAACATAAATAAATAAAACATCATCACAACTGGATGAAAAAGCAATGTCATGATAAATGGAGACAATATGCAAGTTGTTAAGAACTTCATTTTACTTAGATTCACAATTAATGCCTAGGAAAGCAGCAGTCAAGGAATCAAACATTTCAGTGATAAAATCTGCTGAAAAGGTGTCTCTAAAGTGTTAAAGAGAAAAGATATCACTTAAAAGACAAATGTGTCAAAACAATTTTTAATTGTTTTGCATGTATATGAAGCTTGGACAAGTAACAAAGAAGAAACAGTGCATTGAATTATAGTGCTGGTGGAGAATATTAAATATACCATGGATTGTCAGAAGAATTAATAAATCTATGTTGAAAGAAGTACACCTAGAATGCCTCTTTGAAGTGAAGATGGCAAAACTTTGCCTCATACTTTGGGCATGTTACCATGAGAGATCAGTCCCTGGAGAATGACATAATGCTTGACAAAATAGAAGTTCAGCTAAAGGGAGGCAATTCCTCAATGAACTGGATTAACACAGTGGTTGCAACAAGGGATTCACATAGGAATGATTGTGAAAATGGCATAGCTTGAACCCATTGTTGCTACCACTGTGTCAATCCATTTTGTTGGGGGTCTTCCTCTTTTGCACTGACCCTCCGCTTTTCTAAGCATGATGCCCTTCTCCACAGACATGTATATGATCAAGATATGAGATACAGTGTCTCCCCATCCTTGCTTTTAAGGAACATTTTGGCTGTACTTCTTCCAAGACAGATTTGTTTGTACTTCTGGTAGTCCATTGTATTTGCAATATTCTTCTCCAAAATAATAATTCAAATACATCGATTGCCACAGTGTATTGACAGACAAAAATTGAAGCCAGGTGAAAAGAAGACATGGAATGAAATGTTATTGATGATATAAGATAGATTTTGTCTGAAAGCAGAGAATATCAGAAAGATGCTTACTTGTACAAAGGCATTCTACTGTGTGGATCACAAGAAACTATGGATAACATTGTGAAGGATGGGTATTCCAGAACACTTCATTGTCGAGGAACCTGTACTTAGATCAATAAGCAATTGTTTGAATAGAACAAGGGGATACTGGATGGTTAAATAAGGAATGGTGTGTGCCAGAGTTGTATCTTTCCAACATACTTATTCTGTCTGTGTGCTGAACGAATAATCTGATAAAATTCACTCTATGAAGAAGAATGTGACATCAGGGTTGGAGGAAGTCATTAACCTAGTCTTTGATGTTGTTGCCACTGAGTCAGTTCTGACACATAGCAAACCTGTAGCAGGTTTCCAAGGAACAACTGATGGGTTTGAAACGCAACCTTATGATTAACAGTCCAGTCCTTCTCCTACAGTGCTACACCAGGGATGTGACTAAAAAGATTTAGGAACTTAGACATTTAGGAAAGAAAATTAAGTCCCACCTATGAGATTGCTAAAAATTTGTGAATATATGTTAAAGCTACCACAATAATAGACTATTTTGAGGGTGGTTAATTATAGTTACGTACCTGTCCTGTTTTCCTTAAAGCTTTGTCTGTTAATTTTAACATTCAACAGAAGATCTTGTCTAGAACAATCATTGCTCTGGTGTGGCAATGATAATTTGATAATCCCCCTCATTTCTTCTATGTTGATGTTTGGCATTTTTCTGCAAGGAAGAGCTGTCCCTTGTCCTCATTTAAATTTTTGCTTGTCTAGTGTAGTGGTTACAAATCGGGCTGTGAACTACAAGGTCAGCAGTTCGAAACTACCAGCTGCTTCACGAGAGAAAGATGAGGTTTTCTGCTCCCATAAAGATTTACAGACTCAGAAACACTGTTCAGGGTCGGAATCAACTCGACGGCACTTAACAACAACAACAACAAAATATGAGCTAATGGATAATTATTTATCTTTGATTATTGAAAAGTATTAATATTATTCATTTTGGTACTAACATTTTTTTTCAGCTTTAACCATTGAGAGTTTTTTTAATTGACTTTTGTACCCTTTTGACATGTCCCTATTTTTTTGTTGTTGTTGTTGTTTTAGAATTTCCCTTTTTTTCTGACACTGAGCAATTCAATGTCATGATTTCAACATTAGAAACTTTCTTTTTCTCACACAGTCCAGTTTTTCATTTACTGGAGAATGAAACTTATATATTGAAATCTTTGTGCTAAATGTACTTGTTGCTATTACAACTAGGAGCTATAAGAATATGTAGAAACTAATAGTGTTTGTAGTATTTTGCATACATAAACGCACATAATCTCACTCTATATATGCTTACGTGTTTGCCTGTATGATTGAAAACATATTTATGTATGTGTACCTTGTATATATTTTGCTGAGTCAGTGTTGGCATGACGACAATAGGTAAATATTACCTTATATTATTATCTCCATCTCTAATTATACACTATAGATTTCATTCTAGCTTTCTTCTCTTGATTACTTGATTACTTTAAAAGGAAATAAAAATGTTGGGGGAAAACCTAGTATAGAAAGCAGGAATTGATAAATGGCATTACAGATATATGATGTAATCTCACTGAGGAACATGGAAAAAAGGGAAAAAGGATTTTTCCTAAATAATTTGAAAACATGAGCTTTGACTTAGCACTATAAGGTTAAAGATGATAAGAATTGTACATAGATGTTGCCTTTCAGTTAGTAAATTTGTTCCCACAGGAATATGTATTAATAATTTTGAAATTGCTGCACATATACATACAGTATGAATGAACCAGTAAAAAAAATTAATATCAAAACAAATATCTAAATCAAATGTTGTAGATAACTGAATCTAGACTTCTGACTCTCAGAAAAAGAAATTAAAAATAGAGACAAAGATATTTAAAGTTCTATAGAAAAAAATAAACAGAAAAACAAAAAAGTTCTAGCCAACAGTTTTAATCAGTAAACACAATTCATATTTTATGAAAAAATATATTTTCAGATAAACAAAAATATAGCACTCAAAAAATATCACCATGAGTTGGAATTGACTTCATGGAAACTGGTTTATTTGGTTTTATTTTTCAGTCTCCACTTAGAACTCACCCACATTTCAAGTGGACTCACCATCCTTTGTGTCCTTCTTGTAAATGATGCTGTCTACTATCAAAGCACCTCTGATGACATACTGAGAAATTACAAATGCAAATGCCTACTTTCTTTAATTGCGTTAGTGTCTTTAAACCGATGTACTAATTCTGTTTTGTTTTATTTATTTTTTTTATATACTTTGAATAGAAGATGACCCAAGACAGTAGAGTAGATATGTCTTCAATAAATCACTCTGTGTTGTTAAATGCCATTAAGTTGGTTTGGACTCATAGTGAACCTGTTTAGAGTTTTCAAGGAGTGGTTGGTGAGTTTGAGCCACTGACCTTCTGGTTAGCAGTCCATTGCTTATTCTACAGTACCACAAAATGACTACATAGGGAAGATAGAAAATTCTTCTTTCTCCTTTCCATTGCAACATAAGAAATAACTTTACAATACTTTGGGACTCAAATACTTAGCACTTAATTGGCTTACTTGGTCTGCTTCTGGTTATGTTTCATCAAGTAATTCTTTAAGTCAGAGAATTTAGCTGAGAATTCAGTCCAGAAAGAAAGAGGCATGACAATGTAGGGAAAGGAAGTGCTCTAGCTCTGATGTAGTTCATGGGAAACTAGTCATTTTTCATAAAAGTAGACAACCAGATGTCTACATTACTTTTTTTACTTTTTAATCTTCCAAAACAGATTAAAGAAAATTAGAGTTGGAGATGGAGTCTGTAACTCAGAAAATGTAAGATCTTATGGTAGATTTCCCATGTATCTATTAGGAAGAGGAGCCCTGATGGACACTGTAGGTTAAGCACTGGACTGGTAGCCACAAGATCAACAGTTCAAACCCCCAATTGCTCTCAGAAACCTTATACAGGGTTGCTATGAGTTGAAACCAATTTGACAACACATAACAATAACAACAAATAGAAGGAGAGAATCAGTACTTTAATGTTTATTTAATGGACAATTTTTATTAGGAGGCTCTGGCCACCTCTCATATGTCAAGGAGCCTAAAAAATACTGAACTTTGTATTACATGTATTGTAAAACATTCTACTATAGTTATCAAGATCTTTATTTCTTTAAATGCATTTAAACTTCTGAAGTGCTTTTTATTTGGTTCATACTTTACAGAGGAACAATGCCCATATTTACTGTGAAAATCAAAATAAAATGATATGATTTATTTATGTATTTGCTAAATTTTTCTAAGTACAATTAAATGAGATATCTTGATCTTACTTTTGTAAAACTTTAGCCAGCCACCTTTCTGTAAGGCTGAGATATTGCTACCACTATTTCATAACAATAGCTCAGAGTTTTTTATGGTGGAGCAGCTTCAGAATTCATTGGTTCTTACTTTTATAATATGTTTCTGTGGCAGGTAAATACTATTCTCCTCAAGAGGTTTTCCTATAGAAGCATGAGTTTCTTACTAAGAATAACTTTTGCAGAATGAGAAACATATCTCCCACCCCCGATAGGATAGGGATTGTTCTGATGACAGGGAAAATAACACAATGTACTTCATTCAGTGATTTTGAATAGTCAATTAAATGATAATATCGTTAGCCAGCCACCTTTCTGTAAGGCTGAGATATTGCTACCACTATTTCATACCAATAGCTCAGAGTTTTTTTTGGTGGAGCAGCTTCAGAATTCGCATTCGAATCTCTTTGGTTTTGACACTGTAGACAATTGGGTTGAGCATTGGAGGCACAAGAAAGTGCAGATAGGACAGAAGCATATATATCTGTGCTGGTGGCTTCTTCTTCCCAAAACGATGAATCATGGACAGGCTGACTAATGGCGTATAAAACAGTAGTACAGCACAGATATGGGAAATGCAGGTATTAAATGCCTTAAGTCGTTCAGCATTGGAAGCAATACTCAGAACTGTCTTCAAAATTAACACATAAGACAGAAGAATGAAAACAGCATCTAGCCCAAGAGTGGAGAGCATTACAAAGAGCCCAAAGCCACTATTCACACGAGTGTTGGATCTGGCCAGTCTTAAAACATCGGGGTGAACACAATAGGAATGAGCCAGAGCACTCACAGACTGGAATTGCAGTCGACTGAGGAGTACAGGCAGGGGCAAATGGAGGACAGCACTACGAGTCACAATGGCCAGTCCAATAACTCCAATACGCTTGGTTGTGAGAATGGTGGCATAACGTAAAGGCTCACGGATAGCCACACAGCGGTCAAAAGCCATAGCCAACAGTATAGCTGACTCAATGACTGAGAAAGTGTGAATGAAGAAGAGTTGTACAAAGCAAGTTGCAGCTCCTACCTTTCTCTGGCCCAGGAGAAAGACAGCTGTCATGGAAGGCAGTGTGGAAGCTGAGAGTCCTAGGTCAGCCATTGAAAGCATGGAGAGGAAGAGATACATGGGTGTGTGGAGACTGGGAACAGACTTGACAATGTACATGATCGTGATGTTGCCCAGCACAGAAAGGACATAGATAGAACACATAGGAATAGCTGTCCAGCAATGAGCACTTTCCAACCCAGGAAGATCCATCAAGATGAAGAAGAAGCTGCTGGCATTACTGTTGTTAAGAATTGCCATAGTGATTCTTGGAAAGACTTGTCCTGCAAAAATTATAAAGAAAGCAAGTTATTCTTTCACAAAATGTTCCTAAAATTTCACCCCACCAAGTACCCATGACCCTTGCCTGCAGAGTAATAGTATCTTTCCTCTTCAGTATGTCTCACAGTACTCAAGCCCACTCTTTAGAAATTTCTACTAGATAATGATGCTGATTGCCTTTTTGATGATATTCCGTAGATCTCAACAGCATATTTGGGCATGTAGATTAGAAAAAATTCCTTGACCATCCTGAAAATGATGCACAGTTTTACAAATTGAAAGAACGATTCCACGTTGACAGCATAGGGACCATGTGCATAAAATACACTATCATCCCTATCATAACATTGGATTATAAAAATTCATGATAAAGGAGATCTGATTAAACAGGAAGTTAGGATATAAAGTATATAACAATGCTTATCATGAACTTTTGATTGATAACATCATACCTGATAACGGCATACTTTGTTTATAAAGGGGCTAGGATATCAGAAGTAAAAATCACATCAGAGAGACATCAGAAGTAGTTTGGGCTGGATGTGTACATTTTAAGATTTAAAATCTAGTTCTTGATACAACGTGCTATTTATACAGTTTTGTGGTTCAGATATGTGAGAGGAAGAAGGTGAAGTCTAGGCAATATTTTCTGCTTCAAGTACAGTATTATAAACTCAAAAGCATCATACTTTTACTTACTTTCTGCTATGTATTCTGTGTTGGAAATATAACAGACAACAAATAGCTTTTGGCTTTGAAAGACTAGTAACTTACTGGTCAAAATAGAGCACATATATAAACTAGGAGTTCATTAACAACTGGAGAGGTAAACTGTTCACTATGAATCGACATGCTGATCTTCACAACTTTTTCTTCTATGAATGATCCTTCACTTATTAGAGACAGCAAGAAACTGAAATTTGAGCATATGCAATTGCTCTATTTACGAATTAGAAAGAACTCTTAATCATGTCTAAAGTTCATATTAAATTGTTGAAGTCTTTTCTCCACATTTTAAGAAAACTCCCTTAATAATGGGAGCCTCAATATCTTCCTTGGCTGTCCATTACATAGCAGCTGTGACTAGTGAAATAATCTCCATTATTTCTAATTCTTTTGTTTCTACCATCTAGGTTTGTCAAAAAAGATAACTTGCTAGTCTTAGACTATTTAGCTTAGACACAGGATACAGGTTTGTCTCACATACCTGAAGTTGCCCGGGGATAGGTATTGATCTCTGTTGTTCGGTGCCATAAAGTCAGTTTTGACTCATATTGACCCCATGAACAATAGAATGAAACATTGCCCAATTTTGCACCATCATCATAATTGTTATCTTTGAGCCCATTGTTGCTGCCACTCTTTAGAAGTCTTCTTTTTTTGTTTTCTCTGACCCTCCACTGTATCATGCATGATGTTCTTCTTCAGGGGCTAGTCCCACCTGATAACAAGTCTGAACTATGATCTTTATTAGGTTCTAATTATATCAGATACACAAATTGCTGTCTACCCAAGAGAAAGAAGCCCACAAAATAAGACAGTGCATAAGCTGAAAATGGGGCTCTAAGGGATGTGGGGCAATACATGAAACAAGAACACACACAAAGAAAAATAGCAGTGGATGGTGAGAACTAAGACTTTAAATATAATTCAGTGTCAGGTAGTGTCAGGCACACTGCTAGATTTGGGGAAAAGGCAATTGCGCATATAAAAAATAAAATGGGACACAGCATAGTTATCAGAAGTACACAGCTTCACCAGTGTTAGTTGGTAATGGAGAAAAAGAAATATCCATAGGAGGCTAAGTCATAGTGAAGATTGTTTAAGGAAATCATTGATAGATTCCTTAATCAAGAAGATGGGAGCATGTTTTTATCATGCTTTCCACCATTAAAAGGAAGAAGATGGAAATTTTTTTTCTCCCATATGAACTTTAAAATGAGGTGTTTTCAGTCACAGTATGACCTGGGGGTGGAGGGATACAGGGAAAAACTATTTGCTTTCCTTGAACTTTATCAAAGAAAAGTCATTTAAAATTTTTCACTGATTTTCAAGGACATCTTGTATAGTTGCTGCTAAAATGATTCTACAACAATCCTGAAAAGAATTCAGAACTCCATTTCTCAGAAAGCAGCTGATTCTATTGTTATTTTGACAATGAATAAAGAAAATCTGTCTTCCTGCAGTACCTCTTATGCATGCATTGCACTTTTGAGAATTATGCCATTACCACATTTAATGCTTCAGAGTCTATAGATTTAGTAGTGTTAAAACCCAGTCTACATTCTTGTCTGATAAAATATGTCATCTGGATAGTTATAGTTCCTCTACTTTCCTGGTTGTTGTTGTTGTTGTTGTCAGGTGCCATCGAGTCGGAACCGACTCATAGCGACCCCATGCACAGCAGAACGAAACAATACTCGATCCTGGGCCAACCTCACCACCGCTGCCACCCCCGAGTCCATCAATGATGCCACCTGGCCGATCCATCTAGTTGGGGGTCTTCCTCTTTTTCTCTGACCCTCCACCCTACCCAGCATGACATCCTTCTCCAATGATTGTTTCCTCTGGACTACATGTCCAAAGTAGGAGAGACGAAGCTTAGCCATCCTGGCCTCCAAGGAGCACTCTGGCTGCACTTCTTCCAAAACAGATCTATTGGTTCTTTAGGCAACTTTCCTGGTAGTAAATGTTTAATATTTAGTGGGGCATTGATGATTCAGTGGTAGAGTTTTTACTTACATGAGAGATCTGGATTCAATTGAAGCTAATGCACCTATGCTTAACCATCACCAATGTGTGAGTGGAGGCTTGTATGTTGTAATACTACTGATCAGATTTCAGCAAAGCTTCTAGACTAAGACACAAGAAAGAAAGGCATAATGATCTACATCCAAAAATAAGCAAATAGATTGTAGTTTGCAGAGAACCGGCCTCGACACAGGTGTTTGGTTCACGAGGTGGGGATATCTGGCAGCAGTAAAGATATAGAAAGAATACACAGAAAGACACAAAGAGGGAGACAAAGAGACACCCCGAAACCAGAGTGGATGTGGGACTGGCATCAGGCAGATCCTGCATTGCAAACATCTCAGCCATAAAGGCCGTAATATCCTGCATAGTAAACATCTTGGCTAAACAGGCAGTATGGTTGCAAGGCTGGACTGAGCCCCCTGCATGCTGTAATGCACGCCTTGCCAGTCGTAATGCACCTGGAATTCGTTCTGCGCCTCTGTTTTATTTAGGGGAGCAACTATACACAAAGCTGGGCGGGACTAAGACAAGGTACAGCTAACATACGTAATTTTCCAGACATTCAGGCAGCTTTACATCTTACTTCACAGGTTCGAATCTCACAACGACAACTTGGTTTCTCAAGCTTAATTAACATACCTTTTAGCACCTAGCCTCAAATGGGGGAAGGAAAAGGAGGATTGGGAGGATTCCCATTGTGTAGGCTGCCCAGCCCAGGTTCTTCAGGAAAAGAGACGCCTGGGTGAATGGGCTGCACCTGGAAACACTTAAGGCAGGGCAGTTCTTTTGTTCTTAGAACAGAGACCGGGGAGCCACCCAATTTATTTTGAATGAATTCTCTGAGGGAAGACTTTGCCTTTTTGGAAATTTGCAGTTTCGGCTTTTAGGAGGCTTTTACATTTATCTGTGGATATTAAGGGCTCATGTATGAAATTAATAACAAACATAACTGGATACTAAGATGGAAAACAGTTTGCTATGACTGCCAGGTGGCTAGAGTCTGTTCCTCAGAGCCTGCGGTCTGCAACACTCGGGCCCACAGGGCCTCGAACTCCTGACCAGGTCTAGACGGTCTGCAACAGTAGTTTTCCAATCTGTATTTAAGTATGCAATTTAAAATGGGATGGCACAGGACCAGCACATCATTTGGTGTTGTCGTATTTCAGAGGTTAACACAATGACAGCCAATACAATGTGTAGTAAGGAATAGCTATACAATTTTGAAATGTATCTGCACAAAAGGCAGGGACTCATAATATAAAATGTCTGGATTTGTCCATACAAAAATTCTAAAAGCCAAATGACTGAAGCTACCAAGTAACAAAAGACAGGAGACTGATGGACTAAGGCTAGAATTTGCATGCAACTTGATTCATTCTTCTCTCTTGTACTATTTTTCTACAGGACTCTTCATCATCATAATTTCAGGATTACTGCTGTTGTTAGGTACCATTGCTTTGATTCTGACTCATAGCAACCCTGAGGAATGGCTGGTTTGAGCCACTGACCTTGCACTTAGCTTCTCCTAAACTTGTGGCACTGTAGGATAAGCACTGGACTGCAAATCAGTGGTTCAAACCCATCAGCTTCTCCTTGGAAACACTATACAGGGTCACTATGAGTTGGAATTGAGTCAATGACACTTTACAACAACAACAACAACAACAAGGTAATCTAAGATCTACATTGTTATTGTTTTTATGATGTGTAATCGAGTTGGTTCTGACTCACAGTGACCCTGAATAGATTTTCCGAGAAAAGGCTGGTGAATTTTAACTGCTGACCTTATGGTCAAGTGTTTATCTTACTGTGTCTGATAGTTGTGGAAAATTCCATAACATTTATGAATTATAAGAGTCTTTTGTGTGTTTTGTGCAGATTAAAAAAAAAAAAAAAGATGGAGTAGAGGTAAATGTTGTTAACTAATGGTGCATGGAGGGGTTGGTAATCATTGTAATGAAACAAAATACAATTCATTGAGTGCAAAGCTGATGATCTGCCCTGTAAACTATCACTCAATTCACACAAAAAAAGTTTAAAAGTTAAAAAAAAAAAAAATGTCAGAGGACATGAGCAAACACTTCACTACAGAATCCAACAAAAGAATATCTCATGTACAGTGAAATTTGTGAGAACCGTAACTATCTCTTTTTATGGGTCTTGTAAGTTTTCCACTTTTGTCAGGGTGCTTATTAGTGTTTTCTATTAAGAATCCTGCCTTATTT